CACAGGGTGGGGAGGGAGGAAGGGAAAGAATTTGGAACTCAAAGTTGTAAAAACAAATGTTAAAAATTGTTTTTACATGTAACTGGGGAAAAAATAAAATACTAAAAGACAAAACAAAACAAAACAAAAAATAAGACAGGTTTCAATGTGGGCTGAGTTGGAGGGGGGAAATTATTGTAATATAAAGACAAAATACATCATTATTTTTCTATTGGCTGGTTTTATGTATAAATTGAAAATTAAATTAAATAATATTATGAAGATTATATATTCAAACAATAGCTATATGGCAGTTTGTCATAATGTACATGCTCTATCACTTTTCTTTTTTAATGAGAATAAAGAAATCAATCAATTAAAACAAAAAGAATAACAGTCATGGACCCCATTCTAGTTTAGCCCAACAATTGGGTCCTACTTCTTGGAATTAGTGTTTGCGTCAATCTGCTGGCAGAAGGAAGCTCAGGAGTATTCTCATAGGATTGCCTTTCCTCTTATGTGACCATTTGCCTCATCAGTAGCCATAAGGATGTCAGAAAGAACCTATTTTCAGTTACCATTTAAGTTCATACTCAAATGAACCAATCTGGGTTGGCCAGGCAGACCTACCCTGCCAGTGCCATACTTACCACTTGCCTTCCCAGACCCTATGTGGTCTGCTTGATTGTTTACATGTATTGGATGAGTTAGGAGTCACCAACTGTATTCATTCTGATGAGATGAAGGACCATGAAGACTATCTTCACTGTTACTGTGTCCATCCTAAGGTCCTTTGGTGTTTTTTTGTTTTTGTTCTTTTGCTTTTGGGTGAGGCAATCAGGATTAAGTGATTTGCCCAGAGTCATACAGTTAATAAGTGTGAAGTATCTGAACTCAGATCCTCCTGACTCCAAGGCCAGAGCTCTAACCACTGTGCCACCTACCTGCCCCTTTTAAGGTCCTTTGGACTTTGACATCTGCCATGTTTCTATGCCCTCTAGACCCCAGGGCACTATCATTTGATTTTCTAGTGCAACCTAAGGATCTCTGACTCTAACCTCAGCCCTGATGATGGAGCTGAGCATTTCTAGGCCTTTTCACCTGTTCTGCAGCAGATCTTTCCTTTACGTACTCCCTTCCCCAAATTTACATATAAACTTCTTGAGAACAGAGACCAAATCAGTTTTTTTTTATGCTTGTATCCCCAGTGCTTAGCACAGTACTTGGCATATAGTAAGTATTTAGTTAATAAATGCTGTTTTATTCTTTTTGTGTGTGTGTGTGAGGCAATTGGGGTTAAGTGACTTGTGCAGAGTCACACAGCTAGTAAGTGTTATGTGTCTGAGGTCAGATTTGAACTCAGATCCTCCTGACTCCAGGGCTGATGCTCTATCCACTGAGCCACCTAGCTGCCCCATTTTTTATTCATTTTCATTCATTCAAATGAACTTGTAGCAGAATAAGCTTTGCAATCTTCACAGGACTCAAAGAGTCTTTGGAATGGGAGTAAATTCTGTTTGCTCTCCTTATCTCTTTAATGCATTGGAGGTTTCTATGTATTTTGGAGGTTAATTGCCTTCTACCAGTGCCAACAGGAAGGCTGAGTTTAGGCTAATTATTTGTATCACCTTACCTATGTCATAGGGATTGACTGATTGGCTTGTTATTGATTTGATATGGGGACTCATAGAGACGAGTAGTTTCATAGGTTACAGGTAATCTAAAGGACGTGGGTAAGCATGACATACTGACATATTTGCATTAATCCCATCAGAATCAAAATTATACTTATTAAGAGCCCTAAGGTAAAGAAAGCCACATGTAATCTACCTAAAAGACACAAAAACAAGGATATTACAACAATTATGCTGGTATTAGAATTACAGAATCTCAGTGTTAAGAGAGACCTCAGATGTCAAGTCAATAAGTATTTATTAAGTGTCTACTACGTGCTGGGTATTGTGCTATATGCTGGGGATATAAATCCATAACTGATCCGGAATCCCATCTTTGGCATTCCTGTCAAGTCTTCATTTAACCTCTGCTGAAGATTTATATTGAGGGGCAATTTGCCTTCATCATGATCCCACTCCATTTTGGACAGCTCTGATTGTTAGAAAGTCTTTCTGTGCATCAGTTCACACTCTGCCTTTCTGAAACCTCTACTCACAGAGATATTACAAGCCAAATGCTTGCTGCTATGGGCATTTTTTTACATCCTCCCCCACAAATATGTTAGGGTAGTAAGCAAGGGAAAGTGGTCCAGAGGATCAGATCCACCCTCATATTTTTTCCAACCTCATCTTTTGAGGTCATTACGGCTCTATAATCTATTGAAGACAATTTACACAAAGTAGGACTATGGGTTCTGAAAAAAAAAGATGGGTGGGAAATTTGTTAAGTGGGAGTTTACTTCCTGTTAAACCTCATACCACAATATCTGCAGCTGAAAGTGGTTAAAAATACAATGAGACTGAATCGTGTGACAAATGGGCTGAAAGCAATGAATGCAGATAACTTTGGTAGTATCTAGGTCTGGCTGGCTGGCATTTGTGCCTATCTGTAACTTTCGACTAGAAGCTCCTCATTATAACCAACACAATACACATGTATATTCAGATATGTATATGTATGCATGCATGTATGTATACACATGTATATGGGCATGCATATTACAATAATGTATTCATGTACATATACCTTCTTAGACACAAGTGTCTGCATACGGGCACAATCCTATACCTATGTGTATACATGCTTGTATGTGTGTGTATATACACACACACACACACACATATGTATGTATGTATGAGTGCTATAGTACCACATGTAATGGTTCATGCTGCCACCATTGGCCTATGTGTACATGTATGCATGAATGTATATATACACATAATTAGAAGAACACAAACATGTTTCCTCCATTGTAGATAATCCCACCCATTCTCAGATCCCATTTGTGGTCCTAGGTAGGCAGTAAAGAAAGAGTTCAGAATTTAATTGATTCAGTAATAAGCTTGTTGCTGGTGACCTGTGCCTAATACCTAGTCACTTTGCTGAGTTCTTAACCTTTATCACGTACAGGTTTGCTTGGAATGATGATGATGATGATGATGATGATGATGATGACAATGATGATGGCTAACAACGATATTACATTAATTACCCTAGTATTAGAATCACAGAATCTTGGTGTCAAGATTTAGATGTTAAATCAAGCACTGAAGCTTTAAGATTTGCAAAGCACTTTCCATATTATTATCTCACTTGATCCTTATAATAACCCTGTGAGGTAATTCTAATATTGCTATTTTGTAGATGAAGAAAGTGAAGCTGAAAGAGATTAGGTGACTTACTCAGGGTCACATAGCTAGTGTTCGAGGCAGCATTTAAACTCACAAATTTGACTATCTATTGACCTCTTGATTTTGACTTACCCTCACACAGGCACATAGATTCTTGTGGTCCTAGAAATTTGTCTTGTGCCTACGTATCACTTGATGCTCACAGACTGCAGCTTACAATTGTAGGGACGGAGGTAAAGATGACAGTAGCACATATGGTAGCCCATGCTGTTACTAACCGCCACCAATGAACGAAAATCTACAGTCACCAGCAGAAAGTCAACCTCCACACAGTCTACATTGGCTGCAACCCCCTCAATATCCAGGTGGACAAGCCTTCCAATGCTCAGCAGAAGGAATTAGTGAAATCTTAAGTTAAGAAGTGAAGCTTTAGTGAAGCTATCACAGGACGAGGAATTATATTTATTCTGCTTGCCCCCGGAGGAAAAAATGTAGAGCAGTGGGTGGAAGGCAATTGCAGAGTGGAAGATTTTGGCTTGATAGGAGACATTTACAACAATTAGAACTGTCTGAAAGTGGAACGGTTTCCCTTAGGAAGTCTTCCACAGAGACTGGACATCCCCTCTGGGGAGATATTGTAGAGGTGATGGAATAGATTGGATCCCTTTGTAACTCAGATTCTATTAGTCTGTTTTAGGTTCTGACAAAGGTACCTTTATAATAAACTCCCCAGCACACTGTTTCATTGTGAAATAGAATTTTAGGAAAATGAATAGTCATTGTTTGGGATCACATTCTCTTCCAGGACCAACGAAAGAACTAGCATTTAGCTCCGTCATGAAATAGCAAATGAACATGAATTCTGCAAGACTCAGAGGAGAGAGCGCTCTTCCACCCACATCCCACCCACATTCTTTTAGTGCTCTTTCCTTCCTCAGATGTCTGCGTGCACTCGGTTTGCACCTCTCTTGTGTGTTTGGCTCGTTCATGTTTGTACTTTAGCTATCTACCCGTATCCGTGAACCGTTTCCCCTGGAAGTGTTGTATCACATGCTTACTGAAAAATTGAATCAAATCAGAGGCCTCCTAAGGCTCTTGTGGCAGTGCTTGTTTTTCTGCATATTTGTTGGTGCCCACTGTGAGAGAAGCTGGTAGATTCAAGGTGGGCTTGGAGGAGGGAAGATAAAACTTGAAGAATGATCTCTTACTTAATGATAGGACAAAAGAAAAGGAAAAGCTTGGCTGTTTTGGCCCAACAAACAATGCAAATAGGGCAAAAATTCATTGAATCACTGACCCGAAGAAGTGGGACGCACCTCTGATGCCATCGAGTCTAATCTACAGCCCTGACATCATTCTCATGGGGTAATGTGATCAGTAGTCCCAATCCTGATGAGATGCTCTTCAGCAATTTGGAACCCAGGCCACATGGGCAGACTTGGGTCTAGTGGGCCTGGTATGTAACTGGATGAAGCTTGTGAAGTCACAGTTTCTTTTGTGAATAACCATACCGAAAGTAAAGTGGAGAAGTAGCTTATGGTAGATATGGTTTCAAATCACTTTATATATATAAGTGCTCTTATTTTGATACTAACAACTAAGCTAGAAGGATAGGAAATGCAAATATTATTACCCCTACCACTTTTTTTTTCAGATGAGGAAATAGAGATTCAGAGAGGTTAAATAAATAGAACAAAACCACAGCAGAGCAGGTACTTAAGCTAAAGTCAATTTACTCTAGGCACAATTAATGTTCTTTCCAGATTGAACTCCATAAATAATTCACCATTTAAGTCAACAGCAGTTTGTCTATTGCATGGATTCTTGAACTTTTAAGAAATATATTTTGATAATTGTAATTACAAAATTCTAATTGTACTTCAGTATAATTGATTTCCTTTATACACCTATGTAATTTATTTTATGCATTTAAAACCATTATCCTGAGGAGTCCATAGACTTCATCAGACTGCCAAGGGGGTCCATGGCCCAAAAAAGGTTAAGAACCCCTGGTCTAGATCCAGAAGCCTGGGGCTCGCAAGCCTTGATCTTGGAGAAGATACATACCAGTTCAGAGGCTTTAGAGCAAGGGGATATGGGAGAATCCCATGCCCTCTTGAAGTGCCACTCTCTTTCCCCTCCAGTGAGTCACTTAATTAGTCAATAAACACTTCTTGTTGTTCAGTTTTGTCTGACTCTTCATTACTCCATTTGGGGTTTTCTTGGCAAAGATACTGGAGTGGTTTGCCGTTTCCTTCTCCAGAAATAAACATTTATTAAGCACTAGAATTAAGGAGCATCAGGAAAGACTCCCTGTGGAAGGTAAGAGTTTAGATGGGGCTTGAAGGAAGTCAGGGAAGCTATGAGGGTGGAGGTGAAGAGGGAGTGCATTCCTCTAAATAGCAGATAACCAGTGAAAATGGCAAAATGGGTGAGTTGGGAGATGTAGCTTAAGGAACAGTAAGGAAGCCAGTGTCACTGGGTCAAACAATACTTGGGCAGGAAGAACTATAAGGTGCAAGAAGACTGGGAAGGTTGAGTGGGGAGGGGTAGGGTAGGAAGATCTTTTGAACAACAGAGGATTTGATCTTAGAGGTGACAGAGAACCACTGGAGTTTATCGAGTAGGGAGTTGTTATGGTCAGACTTGGGCTTTAGGAAAATCAATTTGACTGCTGATCTCACACACACACACACACACACACACACACACACACACACTCACTCACACATACAAGCTGTGGGGCTCAGCCTGATGGCTTTTGATGAAGGGAGAAAAGCAGAGTCCTCACTGATGGTACAGACAAGGCTGCAGCAGTACCCTTCCCCCATTGTCACCACTGTCCAGCTCTCCCTGGCACCTGTGGAAAAGTTTGAGGCACTAGCTCTTTCTATGCTAACATCTGCTTTCAGTTCCTACTCCTTGACTTTTCCCCTATACTGCCTACCTCCTATCCCTTCCCTCAAGTTAATCACTTCATTATAGAGTATCTATTGGATGGATAGGGAAAAGAGAAAGCATTTGTATGGTTTTATGTATTAGTAAACTCATTTAAGGGACATCTAGATGGTGTGGTGTATAGAGTTTTGTATTTGGAGTCAGAGAGGCCTGTGTTTGAATCCTGCTTCAGACTAGTTGCATGGCCTTGGGAAAGTCACTTAAGCTCTCTTAGCCTCTGTTTTCTTATCTGTAAAATGAGAATAACAATAATAGAACCTATCTCATAGGATCAAATGGGTTGACATTTAGCAAACCTTAAAGCACTATGTAAATTATATATATATTATTGTTGTTGTTGTTTTTATTATTTTATTATTATAAAGCAGCCATAATAGAATGAAGCATCGTGAGCTATAACCCAAGGTGCTAATGTCAAGGAGGAGAAGGAGGAAGCACAGTTTCTTAGTGGAGGAATTTTTCCATTGGTTAATCCAAAAACCATTGATCCTATAGTTCATGTATCTCTGCCATATGGCAGACTGTGCTAAACTTTTCTCTAGACCCTTTGACCTTACTCCTTCACTCCATGCAATTACTCCCCTCTTCTGCAGCACATAGCATTGCTGACCCAGCCAGGACAAGCTTCTGTCTTTTGGTTTTCCTCAGCTTTGGAAGGAGGGATGGGTTGGGTTGAATTCTGTTGCAAACTTGGTAGGGGGCTTGTGCAGCCCCAACAGACCAAGGTTTGGGGAGAGGTGGAAGTTGGGGAGGGAGTACAGAATGAGCTGAATAGGGGGTTAGGGATTAGCCTTCTCTGCTATTGGTTCATTGAGTCTTTACCTCCTTAGGGTTGTTGGTGCCCTAGACCACAAGTGACAAAATCTGTCCACAGACTGTTTTGGTATGGGCCCACAAGCTAAGAATAGTTTTTTTTTTTAAGAATGGCTTTTGCATTTTTAAAATACACACCTTTTTTTTAATGTAAAAAAAATATTCTTAGCTCTGAAGCTGTACAAAAAAACAAGCAGTTGGCTGTATTTGGCAATGGGCCATAGTTTAACCTCTGTCTAGACCATAGAGACATCTGAAATTGTTCTATCTCTTGCCCATAAACCATACTTTGAAGAGATTTGAGAGGATGCCACCAAATGACCTCTCACTACAGGTTTACTGAAATGAAAAGTACCATCATTATCATGTTTCTGAGTTAGTAGTTGGAGTGTACATTCCTCCTGTTTAAGTAGGGTGTAGTGAACTGAACGTGAAAACAAAAGTTCATTTTCTTCCCTTGATTTCTTGACCAAAATCTCCAAAGAATATAACATCATCAGTCACATCTCTTGAGTGACATATTGCAAGGTAAAACCATGTCAAGGTTCTCTTTTTTTTCTATCTAGGTATGAAGGCTGGCTGTGGTGTAGATAACCATTGCAGGTGAAGAAGTTTGGTTATTCAGAGACTATGAAACTTCCAGTGAATTTCCAGAGGTGTTCCATATTTACCATGTGGACTCTTGAGACCCAGCAAAGGATGAACATCAATTTCATTGGAGTGTTTAAGGTCAAAGGATGACATCTCATGGATGAGTTGCCCAATGGACAGTTGGTTAATAAGAAGTTAGGCAGCCTCTCCCACAGGAAAGAAAGAGCAATCAGAAGCAAATTTAATTCCTCATACATATGGATGCATATTCTGTAGGTTGCTCTGTCACACGTTCTGCCCTCCTTAAGAAGTTCACTCCATTGGCAGAATGGTTCAGAGAAGCATAGACAATACCAGGCTGATTTTCCTCTGAGCCTTGGTTAGAATAAATAACTTTGGTTCCCAGCTGGATCTTAGGCCATGCGTCATTATTATAAATTATGGTTTCAGACGACAAAGGCAGGGGCCTAGGTAGAGTGGAGTTATATATTGTGCCCTCTTCAGCTTGGTTGAAATCAAAGGGCTGGTGTGGAGTAACCTGCAAGACAAGAAGATGACTTTCAGTTTCATGTGAGAATGTGATAGCTGTTAATCGTACCACTGAGTCAGTGAGCCATAGAATGTGATTATTATAATATATCTTTTTAAAAAAATTTTTGGTGAGGCAATAGGGGTTAAGTGACTTGTCCAGGGTCACATAGCTAGTGTAGAATGTATTATAGAAATGGGGTTTGGGGGAAGAGTATGAAGTGTGTTTTGTGCTCTAATAAAACCTCCAATGCTACAGAAATTCAGGTAGGTAAAGGATAAAGAACAGTAAGATAAATGTATACTTAGAAAAGAAAGTCAGTAGAGTGATTGATCATTGGGCATTTTTGGTGTTAGCAGAATGCCAAGTCACTTAATTTCCCTACACCCCAGTTTCTTTATCTATATAGCAAATGAGTTGGTCATTCTACTTTCACGTTCACATTCCTAAACTCTGAAATTACTTTATCTGATCGCATTCTGTTTTCATTCCAACTTTCCCACTGTTTTACGTCTCAAATCTTTGTTGTGGCCTCCAATCCCTCTTCCTCTCAGTTTTTTATCAGGCTGTCAACACCACACTGGCTACCCTCTACATTTTGACCCCTTGGTGAACAAGGTCTTCAGTCTCTTGCCCCATTATTCTACTGCCAATCTCTCTCAACCTTGGATTACTCCACTATCTTTGCTCCTTACGAAACTAGAGCAAATTACAAAACCATACTGGATGGATTCGTTAGAAATTTGTTACATAATCTTAACTAGCCCTCACTGTGGCAAGGCAATACCCTTATACAACCCTAATTGACTCACTATCCCACTCATGGTACTAGCTTTTCCAAATTTTTTCATCCCTCCTCAAACTTCCCATGATTCACTCCCACCCCTCCCCCACTATCTCAGCTTGCCTCATAAATGAATGAAAAAATTGATGCCATTCACCAAGAGTTCCATTTTAGCCCCCCTTCATCTCACATCACTCAGATGCATTCTACCACTATCTCTCCCTTCACCCCTGTCTCACATAATTAGTTGGCCTTTCTCCAGCAGATTGTCTGTGCTACTATCCCCACTATCTCACTCATCTTTAGTCTCTCTCTGTCTACTGGTTACTTCCTTGGTGACTACAAACTCACTCATGTCTCACCCTATCCTCAAAAAAAAAAAAGCCAAACTTACTTCATCCATCCATCTCTACTATCATCCTATATCTCTACTCCCTTTTGTGGCTAAACTTTTTATCTAAAATCAGAGCTGTCACTTTCTTTTGTCTCACTCTTGTCTTAATTCTCTGTAGACTGTCTTTTGACCTTATCATTCAACTGCTTTCTTCAAAGTTATCAATGATCTCTTAATTGCCAAATCTAATATCCTTTTCTTGGTCTTCATTTTTCTTAAGTAAGGTCGTCTTTGACACTGTCAATCACACTCTTCTCCATATTCTCTCTGCAAGCCTTTCAAATAGGGACTGTTTTCACCTTTTTTTGTATCACCAACACTGAGCACAGTGCGTGGTGCGTAGTAGGCATTTAATGAATGTTTATTGACTTGTTTATTAGAGGATAACTTTGCCTTCTAATTTATTGAAGAAGTTAAGGCTCCTAATGTAAGCTCTTCTATGTTCAAATCTTTCTCTCTTCACCTTTCTCCTCTCCTTTGTTTCAGTCTCTCCTCCTTTCCGAGGTAAGGTTGGCTAGCAGTTTAAGTTACCTAGCTATACCTTGGTCTCATCAAATACTGCTGCATAGAGACCTATCCTTCACCAATTATTTCCCTTCTCATACATTCAGTCTCATATTTTCCACTGGTTCCTTTACCTCTGACTACAAACATGTTCAGATTCATCACTCGAAACCAAATAACAAAACTCCTTCACTGAGTTCTGCTAACTATTCACACTACCTAGCCATCTCTCCCTTCTTCCCTTCATAGCAAAGCTTGTTGAAAGGGTAAGTTACTTGTGTTTGCTTCCACTTCCTCTCCACCACTCACTCATGGATATTTTCAATCTGGCTTTCTTTCCCATCCATTTGACTGAAATTGACTCAGAGATCACGTAACTGCTGAAGCCAATGTTCTCTTATCCAATCAATTAATGTGCCTTGTACCATATGCCTTTATGGGAACCTGACTTTGCCCTGAAGATTTTGATTAGAGGCCCCTCTTTTTCCCATTTCCCTTGACTCACAGGGTCCATAGCATCCTCTTCATTCCCCACTACTTCTAAACCATTCATCTCTCCTCTTCATTTAAAAGTTCTTCCTCTCTTGAAGTCCATAGAGTACATTACCACCCTTTGCACAGGTTCTGGCCAAATTCAATAGTCGTGATTTCATCTGTGTAGAGGAAATCTAAGGTGCGGAAATTCCCTCCACCAGTACATTTCAGCAACTTTTCTATAACTCATAATCTAACAGCAGTGTCTGGGGCACCTGTGAAGTTAAGTGCTTTGCCCAGGGTCACACAGCCAGAAATGTGTCAAAAGTGGGATTTTGACCTTTTTTTCCCCCTGTCTCCAAGACTCTGGTTCTCTCTTTAGAAGAGGCGACAGGGAATAGTAGGCCTCAGAGTCAGGAAGACCTCATCCAGGAGTGATAGTATATAGAGACCTGGGGTGACACTAACCTGTAGGGGTGAGGAAGAAAACAAATTAGATAAGATAGAAGAAATGTCTTTGGTCCTCTTTTCTTCTGTGTCTATACTCATTCACTCTCATGGTCTCGACTATCATCTCTATGCCAATGACTCTCCAATTTCCATTGTCAGCCTGGACATCTCTTCTGAATATTATATGTGCATTCCCAATAGCTTACAGACATCTCTATATTTATGGTTCACTAGGACCTCAAATTCAACTGCGCAATTCAGCTACCAAATGTCCTAAACATGTGTTTTGCTCCCTAAACCTGATACTCCCTCTGACTTCATTATTTCCATTTTTTTAAAAAGATAATTTCCTGCCATCTTCAATCCTTGAAACTCTTGATATTAACTTTGACTTCTCTTTCCCCATCATGGCCATTTTTTTAATCAATTACTTTACTCATCATTCAATCTGTTGTTATTCGTTTACTTGTCTACACAATTTATTCCCACCTACACAATTTATTCCCACCTTATCTTTTCAGACTTTTCATCCTAAGCCCTGCCAATTCTGCTAGTTGTACTCCAACCAAACTGGACTACTTCCTGTCCCCTCAAATATATTATGTATCTTTCTGTCTTGGTGCCTTTTACTGAGTGTCTTCTGCTCGGAATTGTCTCCCTCTTTGTCGATTACTTATCCTCAATATCTAACAAATGTTTATTTCTCCTTCTAAGTTTCCCTGATCTCTCCAATTGGTAATGTATTTTTCCTTCTCACACTTGACATATGAGTTCAAATGGATTCTTGTTCTAGTCTCTCTGACCACCACCCTTTCTTCTAGTCAGCAGAGTACATAAATGTATAAGTAGCCAATATAAAGTAGCAAAAGCAGGATAAAAGATTGCAAAGGGGAACCTATAAGTCACGTACAGACCATCCCAAAGATCAAAAGAGAATAATTTACAAATTGTATCATACATTAACCAAAAGTCACATCTTGGTAATATGTGCTGAATCAGGGGAAGCCATCTAAACTTTACTGTTACGGATTTTTGGTCCTATGACATGTAAATCTCAGACAAGTCCCAGGCATATTCAATAAGACCAGCAGATCACAGATGTTTTGTGAGGCTAATAATTTTGAGATGATGCAGACATGTTAACTTTAAAGATTTATTGACAACTTTGAAAAGATTTGGACATGTTAATGAACCAACCCCAAAATAGGCCAAATAAGAATTGTTCTGTTCCCACCAAAAACCCTATAAAAATGAGACCTCAAACTCCTTTCCTTCATGCCCTCTTCCATTTCCATCAATTCCATGCTGCCAAATGTTTCCAACTCTAATCCAGGGCTATGTGAATGATTATTTGAGCCTTTTCCCCTTTCCATCTTCCTCCTCATCACTGACTGCCTTTCTTTACTACTCTATCCCTTGTCATTACACCATCTGTCTCTGTATCCTTTTCAATGCTTGTGTCTGTATTTTCTATGCCATTTCTCCTTACACCCTCTGTGCCTTCTTAGAGTGTTACTGAAGCATTATTCCCCATTGCCATCATGACCTTTCCCAGTGAGTACCCAAAGAGCCAGGTGTACCTGCCCCATTTCATAATCTTATAAATTAATTATCAAATCAACTTAGGTTTCACTATGCATCTTTCTAATGTACTTATCATGTATGTGTCATATTTGCTACTAGATTGAAGGAACATAAGAACAAAGACCATGACTTATCTGAACTTTGTATTTCCCACAGCAGATAATGGAACTCTTCATATGGTAAATGTTGCCTAGTAAATGTTTGTGGAATTGAATTTCCTGAAAGGCTTTTGTTTATGTAAGAGAACCTCTCCTCAATTCTACATACACTCCCTATGTAGTATCCTCTACTTCCACTGATTCAAATGAAATCTTCAAACAAATGACTCAAATCTCTAGCCTCAACTCCTAACCTCCTATCCAGCATTTCTGAATGCCTGCTGAATATTCTCGTGTGTATACTACCGATATCTCAAAACTAGCATATGCCAAAGAGAGCCTCTCCTCTAATTCCTGAATCATCTTTTCCCCATAATGTCCCTGGTCTTTTAATGGAATCTTTCTGTTCCCAGTCGTTCCTATTTAAAATGTTAGACTCATCTTTAGGCCTTCCCTATCCTTCAAGACCCAAATCCAATCAAATATTGAATCTTATTAACTCTATCATTGTACTCTCCTCCTTCTGTCTCTTCCCTTCTGTTTGTACTATTACCACATTAGAGGAGATTCACATTATCTTCCACAAAAACTATTAAACAATCTTTCATCTGGTCTCTTTTCCTGCTATCTCTGCTCCCACAATCTAGGTTTTACAGAGCAAACAATCTTCCCAATGTGTTGCTCTGATCTAGACTCTGAATGTTAGAGATGGAAGGAACCT